TCTTTATTACCTTCCTCACTGGGGGGCTAGAACAGGAGCTTACATGGCTCAGCACTTCCCTACGACTGTGCCAACGCCGCGAGCGACCACACATCCACGGCTAATCACCATGTTCTCTGGATTTCACACTCACACACACACACACACATGGACGCACAATAAAAAAAATACTGACTCACAAGGGGCTCCCCGACCGCCTGGAGGGAACCAGGGGGCTAATCCGACAGTGATCTAGTGACTCTGGAGAGAAAGCCTCAGCACAAAGGAGCAGCACTACCTCAGTGATAGCGAGTCATTGTGTTGTGAGTGTGTCAGCTTAAAGCAAGAAATACACTTCAGGCTCCAAAAGGCTGAGTAAGGCTGCGTTTCAAAGCAATATATACACTGTATGTTCTGGTACTTTCACAGTGTTATAAATATCTAAATACAGTATTGTCCACAGCAGCCACGTCAAACTCAGGCCCGAGAGCCAAATCCAGCCCACGAGACCAGGTTTAGTGGCCCTTGGGAGGACTTTCAATTATTATTATTTAGGGCTGTCAAACGATTAAAATTTTTTTGTTGATTAATTGCATAGTAATGGAGAGTTTCAACTCACGATTAATCACATTTTTAACATTCTATTTCAAATCCACTCCAATTGAAGTTAAATGAGATTATCAAATGTAATGTCACATTGTCATTCATACCAAATGTATTTAAATCTGTTTGATGTGCTCACAACCTTTTACTTTGGCACAACCAAAATGAGCTGTTAATGTTAAAGGGAAAATGTATGTACCCCAGCCTTAATTTAGCGAGTTTAGTTTAGTTTAGTTTCAGGAGGAGACACAGACACTTCTGCGGTGTATTTTTGTGCACAGGTTACGCACAGGTTGCAAAGACACACACAACATGCAGAGAATAGTTCTGTGCGTGTATGGTCTAACCGCGGCGCCATTCGCTCTGGTTGCTAACAACAACCAGAGCGGCCGCAGCTGCCCCCGGGGTGTGCCCTGGGAGGCAGACTTCAGTTCACAGCAAACGACAGCCCAGCGGTCACGTGTGTATTCTTTTAAAACTTGAATTCCCAGAGGACCTACCTGCTCTGTCACCATCACACACACGCATTCTGGGTGATATTGTGGATAAATGGGCGGGTCATTCGGACATGCATTAATTTCTTTTAACGCGTTAATGAAATATTATCGTGAGTTAACGAGATAATTTTGACAGTCCTATTATTATTACAGTAACTTGCAGCAATGATGGTAATGCGGCTTCTATGGCATGTAATACTTCATTTTAAAGGGTATCCGCTCAGGAAAAGAACAGTATAATTGAATCTGTTCCAAAATGTGAACTAAAATGAATTAAAGAAGTTATGTCTTTGTCTAAGATGTATTTACATTGTTATACCTGCCTTTAACATTTTTTTATTGCACATTCTGACATGGCATGGCAGGGGTCTCCAACCTTTTTCAATCGGAGAGCAACTTTTGTACAACAGAAGAGACAGAGAACTACTCATTTTTGCAGTCGTGAAAAAATTCGATGTGATAACTACGACCAACCATGTAGAACACATGTAAAACATACCATAATACTGTCTAACCCTATATTCACACTAGATAATAGACATGTAGTGATAAAGTGTTGAATTCTAAATCCTTTGGGCGAGCTGGAGGTTGGAGACCCCTGCTGTACGGTAAACAAATATTAGTGTCCAATCAACGCTTGTTTCTGAGATAATCACAGACTGTACATTGTGGCGACAGGAGGTGCATGGGACATGGAGTGGAAATAGAAAGAACAAACAAACTTGGAAAGAGCTCGGCACATGGAGCGGAACAGGAAAGCTGGCAGAACAGTGGAAAGTGCAGCAACAAAGAATATAGATGATGTCATGGTGTTTTGATTCTTTTTTACCTGCTTTTATTTTGCTATTTTTTTGTAGTTATGAGTTTGCTTCCTGTCTGTCCTGATGATTGTTCGCCCCGCCCCAATGTTGATTCACCTGTGTCTCCCTGTGTGTATTTATACCCTGCTCTTTTCCCCTAACTCCAAAAAGTGATGATAAAAAAGTCAAAAATAGCTCAAATGTGTGAATTTGAGCACATTCTGACTGCCTTAAAACAAGATTGGTCAACGGGACAAAGCAAAATGATCTTGTTTTAAAAAGATACAAGAAATGTCTCTCTTGGAATGAGAAAATAAAGCAACAGTTCTTGAAGTAAGACTAAGGCTATATCCACACAAAGACAAAACGCTTATAATTTCAGAAACTTTTTCTGTAAACACGGAGTTAGCTCAGTAAATGTGTGCGTCCATATGAATGTAGTCAATACGCCTGAAAACGCTGTGAAGCTATGCCAGACCTGTTGGTGGCGCTGTGACGCAATGACGGGATCAAGCCCAAACTTCTGTGGGCATGCGCGGAATTTTGTAAACAGACAACATGGCGAGTGGGCGAGCTGGTACTACATTAGTATGGACGGACGATGAGGTTGAACTGTTGCTTCGGGTCGCACTGGATTACAAAACCAACAAGCTACATTGTTGTTGTCATTATTTTGTGAGTGCGGCGCATGCGTGCTTTAACAAGAGGCGGGGCGATGACGCAAGCGTCTCAGATACATTGCGGAGAGGCAGTAACCACGGAGCGGCATATACGGAGTTTTGAAATCTTTCCACTCTGGGACCTAGTTTCAAAAATGTTCGTTTACACCCCCCCAAAACGCCGGCCTCGTATGGACGATACACTGGATTGATAAAGTATTTTTGCGTTTAGGCCTGAGCTTGACTTCGTGTGGACAGGGCCTAAATGGCTTTGTCCCCTTGTTTTAAGACAGTCAGAATTGTTTTCAGTTCTGGAATTTGGTGTTTTTTTTACTCTAGATTTAGATTCTATCAAATTGCATTTTATTTTCAGTGATGCATTTTTGGTTCCTTTTTTTATCTCACCACATAACAGAAGAAATGAGTTCAACTTAAACACATGGATTCTCCTGAGACGTCTTTAACCCACACGCAGCAGAACTTTAGACACTGATGCTGCTGTGAATGAACCAAACCTTATGGTCAAGACTTACAACGTGGAAGAAAAGATCCTTTGTTGTGGCGTCCACGTTGAATCAGGTGTTAATTACCTGAAAAGACTCCTGCAGAGTGAGATGTTTGCGTCCTCACGGGATCCATCAACAGACCTGTTCTTCTTCTTTTTTTACATTAGTTTTAGACATTTGTCGCATAAGAACGGCTCAGAAAGAATGACGAGTTCTCACAATGATCGTGTTAAACAATAGAGGAATGATTGTAAAAGTTGAATAAAGTGCACGTTTGTCAATAGCATTGTCCCCAGAAGAGTGCAGCTAATACCAGCTCCTGTCAGGGCTGACAGTCACACTGTTTCTTCTCAGTTAAAAAGTTGCTCCCACACAACCATCATATCTTCATCTGACAATTGGATCTGTTTGCCAACACTGCAGCGCCCTGACACCGCTTTCTTCCCTGTTTGCAATGCATCTACAAAGGACAGAGTTTAGTGACAAACTCGGTTCCAGCTGGAAGCCTCTACGGCAACTTCAGCCAACTGAACAAAATAATACAATTCTTGGAAATTAAAGCGATCTGCCATTTTTAGCTCAAATCAGAGATTTTTGAACCGAAAAATAGTAGTGTTAATTGCAAACTAAATTTCACATTAGTAGCAGATGGCAATCTTAAAGCCCTGGGTATTAACAAATAGTTAATAAATGATGTATTGTATCATTCATGATGAAAAAACAACTATATTTGGTATCTTCAAGCTGTGAGTATAGAAAAATGTCGGTAATAGTAAATAAGTAAGTAAGTAATGTTTATTTTTATTGTGCATTTTACAGACCAAAATCACCCAAAGCACTTTACAATGTTCAGAAACCAGATGTTTTTCCATTCTCAAACAGTGATGACGGAAGCGATGACTGAAGATCCATATAGATTCAGTGATCAGCTTTTTCAGAGAAACATTACAATAATGCATCGGTTTTATATAGCGCTTTTTTGGACACTCAAAGACGCTTCACATGTGTCATTATTCATTCACTCCAAACACGGTGGTGATAAACTACTAATGTAGCCACAGCTGCCCTGGGGCACACTGACAGAAGCGAGGCAACCAGTATGTGCCATCGGCCCCTCCGACCACCACCAACCATTCACACACACACCAGACTCATTCTAGGCAATGGGGGTGAAATGTCTTGCCTAAGGACACAACGGCAGTTTGGCACTTTACAGCCGCAGCCGCCCCACTGTGGCTGGTGTTCCCAGAGGTTAAGTGTCTTGCCAAGGACACAACGACAGTAGTCAGTGGGAGTTGATGGTGAAAGTCTTGAGCGGGGCTTGAACCCACGACCTTCTGGCTCAAAGGCCAACGCTCTACCAACTGAGCTACTGCCGCCCACAGAGCACCAGGCCTCACTCAGCCAATCAGCTTTCAGCATTTTGTGGTCTGATAAACACAAAAGGTTACTAAAGGTACTCTCCTTTATGAATCCAGACTCTTAAACCGAGCTCTTAGAATAATCAATGACTCTTCTGACCCCTGGAAAAGCCATGTTCCAGCTTCTTCCCTCTGGCAGATGTCGTGCGCTGAACAAAGCACTTCAATGATCTTGCTTTGTTGATGGATTTCACGTTGTTTGTTGTTTCCTGCGCTTTTCTTGGTTTGTTTTATTCCTGTTCTTTTAACCGTGTTTATTTATGCACTTGTCTGATGCACAATGTGGACTTTTGCAATAGTATTCCAATATAGTTTTACTGCAAACAGCAAATAAAATGAATCTGAATCTGAGCCTCCCGTGTCGTGAAAACTCACCGAAAGTAACCGGACGTGCGTGCCGCGGATTGACCATGCATACGGCTCATGCAAGCACCGCGCCGTACCTGCTAAAGTAGGTCAGATGAAGTGACAGCGGCGTCTGCGCTCACATACATCATGCAGCAGTGGGCGACGCCAGGAGCATCCCGGCGCTTTAATGGAGACCCCTGCAGCTGCGAACGGAGGCCACAACAGCTCATCAGAGACATGTCAGCGGGAAGAGGTGAACACACCCAGGGCACCTACCGGACAGGTGAGGGATGACCCGGGGCCTAACGCTGTGGACACGTGTCTCCAGAGGGACCGGTGAGCAGATGTGGCCGTGACAAGAGTGTTCTATTTAAGGGCTTATGTGTGTTTAACGACGAACTATGGCGTTGACATCACTCGCTCCAATAGAGAGGTCCCTACGGTAAAGCTAAGAAGGAAATCTATGGTAATGTATACACCTGGTCAAAGCAGAGTGAGGACCATATACAGCACGGGACTCCAAACTTCTAGCTCGCCCAAAGGATTGAAAAAAGTATTCATATTCATTCCCCCATGAACTTGTCCAAATGTCTTGTTTACCCTTTAATGTTCACTTCTTGAAGAAAGCATTTTTTTTTTCTCTAGGATGTAGGAACATTAATATAACGCATTGGTTTTATATGCAGCGCTATTCAGGACACTCAGAGACGCTTTAAATGTAATTTTTCATTCACTCCAAACATGGTGGAGATAAACCACTACTGTAGCCACAGCTGCCCTGGGGCACACTGACAGAAGAGAGACAACCAGCATGTGCCATTGGCCGCTCCGACCACCACCAACCACTCACACACACACACCACACTCATTCTAGGCAATGTGGGTGAAGTGTCTTGCCTAAGGACACAATGGGAGTTTGGCACTTTACACTGTGGCATCAGGTGTTCCCAGAGGTTAAGTGTCTTGCCAAGGACACAACAACAGCAGACATCAGTGGGAGTCGGTGGAGATAGTCTTGAGGTGGGCTCGAACCCACAACCTTCAGGCTCAAAGACCAATGCTCTACCAACTGAGATACTGTCGCCCCATATAATCTCTAAGTTTAGGGTAAAGAAGCAAGTTCATATAATTCTGCAGGTTTAATAAATGAATTTCTAGAGTCAGTAAAAGTAATTAGTTTCAAATTCAAACACAAACATGGAGCTCAAATCCAGGTGTAAAATGGTTTGGAATAACATCACGGATAGACAAGGACATGACGGTCAGAACAGTGAGAACAAACTGCAGCATTTCAACCTTTCTGCTCCTGTGCTCTCGCTCCTCTTAGTTGCTCACGTCTCACAACAAACATATCGATCGTGTTTACATTAATGGCCGTGTGGAGAGCAGAGAAGGAGAGGCCGGCCCAGCTCCACTGCAGTCCCAGGATCATGCACGCTAATCCCCAGACTGAGCCTTCCACCCACCGCCTCCCTGTTCCCATCCAGAGGCGCCCGGTGATGGAACTGCCCCGGGACCCCGCACCCATCACCTCTGCCCCGACAGCGGTGGGAAACAAAGCCACGTGTGAAGCATGTGAGGATGCGGGGAGATAATTGGACGAGGATCGCTGTAGATCTGAAGAACTAAAAAGAAACAGACAATACGTTATAATTCTTTACATTACATTACAATACATCACAATACATTACATTACTATTCTTGGGTTTCATTAAACTGGCCAGTAGGGGGCGAATGAGCAGAGGTGGGACAACTCAGTTTGGCTCCCATTGAAAACCATGTAAATCGTGTCTGTTTTGGAGTCAAAGTCTCTCCTCCTGCGGTGTACGGTTGTTGTAACAGTCTTAATCGGGAACACTCAATTTCTAAGGCAGTACTAAAAAATATTTTTGAAAAGAGTCTTGATTTTGGGAATTTTTGGAAGACAAAAAACGGAAGAATTTTCTGCGTTTTATTTGGGTGGCCTGCAGGGGGCGCTTACCTGGGAAAGCCTTGATCCACCTCGCACGCCTCATTCCAGTGATTTTTTTCAAAGTGTACTCCTTTATATGAGACCACAGTTGGAACACGGAAGAAACTCTTGTCTCTCTCTATTTGTGCGGTTGCTACAAACGTACACCGCACAAAAAGATGGCCTTTTGACAGCGCTTCTTCTTCTACTATATCTCCGTGAATAAACCCGGCAGACTGCACCGCCAGGGTACGTCACCTCCTGTCCCACGCTTCTTATTCACGCCACTGCCCTGACGTCATATGAAACCCAAGAATACATCACATTACATTTCATTACATTACACTACATTTAAATTTAACATATTTAATCCTATTTGTTTACTATCATACGGATTTTGCTGCCTGCTTGACTCCATGTAGATAACTATAATATTATAATAGTATTAATTTGCCTTTGACAATTACAATTTTCTCTTCTTGTTTGAGTCATGTTTTTGCTGTTCTTTGGCTCTAATAAAGTTAATAGCACTGTCAGTGGTCATCTCGCTCCTTATGAACCAGCCGCTCCTCTGAGTTTGTCATTTCTGTATTTCCAGAACTGCTTGATCTGTTTCTCCAATCTGTTGTTGGTGAATGGACAACTTGGTGTTGTGAAGTTCAATTTCTCTTTTTGTTTTTGTATCACTGTAAAGCTATTTGTTGTGGTAAGCTGCTTTCTTTTTTGTTCATGTCAATCTGAATAAAAACAATACGAAATGGTTTCCTGGATGAAGAATAATGTTGAAATGAGTTGAAAATGAATGAATAATCCGATATTTACTCAGATTACTTGAAGATGTATTCATTTTCAATACAATATATATGGCATTTTACTAGGTACGTAAAAGTATAGTCTAAAAAAAAATTTTCTAGACCAAATCACCTCAACCCTGTGATGCAAAAAGGTTAATTTTGTCTTGAGTTCACGTGTTTTTTGTGGTTCTATGTGTTACCTCCTCAAAACAAAGCAATTCATCAAACTTGTCTTTCAAAAGAACCACAAAAACACCTCTGCCTTATTCTATCGTTTGATACCACTACATTCTCTTTGTAAATATTGTATAAACTGTATATTCTGTACACATCCCCAGTCTCTTTTGTAAATACTTTTCATTCCGTATTACTATATTACTGTCTCTATTATCTTTAAAACACCTCTCTCTCTCGTGAACTGCTCCTTGCTTCTGGTCCTAGCCCAAAACAGATATATACACATATTTAATTAAAATATAAGCATACTATTCATATCTCTACACCTCCATTTCAAATACCACTATCAGATGTGTTTTGAGTGTATATTATTTAATATTCCTTTTTCTTTCATGCCTTTTTGATTATTTTATTTAGCACTATACGCCTCGGCAAATTCCCACAAAAAAAACCCATCTGATTCCGATCTGTTTTTTTTTTTTTTTTTTTACAACAAAGTCTATCATATACAACCAGCAGTGAAGCAAAACCACCATAGTTAGTATTGATTTAATAAGGGAGAAAATCACAGAGAGAGGGAGGAAGAAAAATGTCTTAAATCTCTGGCTGCCTTTCGTCTTCGGCGGCGAGCGGGAACAGTGGGGTGACGGGCGCGGCGGTAATTAGCAGCGGCTCCATGCGAGACACAGCACCATGGGTCGCATCGGCCTCTGTGCGTTTGAAGGCCTTTTGATGATGGAGAAGAACACAGACTGATGTATGGTGGCCAGTCAGGACCAAAATAAGCAGGCGCTGGTCGTGTGAAATAATTGCCCGGCAAAAAGTCTCGGCTAATGCGGTTCTGGGTCCGACCAACAAAGAGACGGCGTGTGGAACGGCTTGTTAGGATTTGAAATTAAGACTGGGAACATATATGTATATGCAAGGTCTACAGTAGATAAGGTCTAATTATGTCTTGTATACACTGCAAAACATGATAAAATATGAGGTTATAATCTTAATTTGAGAACATTCTGTCTGTGTTAAAACAAGATATGCCAATGGGAGGAAGCTATTGTTCCAAGAAATGTTGCTTCATTTTCTCATTCCAAGAGATAAATGTATTGTGTCTTTTAAAAACAAGATGATTTTGCTTTGCCGCATTGGCAAATCTTGGCAATTGGCAATTTTGGACTTAATTTTGATCACTTTCTACAGTGCAACAAGGTTTCCAGTTCTTAAAAGGCAGGTCTAATTATGTTATATAAATATTCAATTCAATTCAATTCAAATAACTGTATTCATCAGTGAGGAACTTCGTATACAGACAGAGCGCCAGTGGGAATACACACAAAACACAGAAACACCAGATATTAAAGATAAATGCAATAAAAGTGCAGAAATGTTATCTGGACACGACAACGTATACTTTTAAAAAAAATGTCAGATTACTGGTGTGTGCGTCTGATGTGTGCGTCTGATGTGTGCATCTGATGTGTGCGAGAATGCTTGGTAATGGTTGGAGAGGTTGATGGCACATACTGGTTGCCTTGTTTCTGTCAGTGTGCCCCAGGGCAGCTGTGAAGTTTATCACCACCGATTATGTGTCCAAACAAGCACAATACAAAAGCAATGCATTATTACTGTATAAATTAGTGATATTTTAACAGCCACAATACAGAACCTCATATTTGCATGTCTAATCTGTATTTATATATACGTATCTATTTCACAGACCTAGGTCACACAAAGCCCTTCACCATTTTGGCGTAGCTGTAATTTCCATTCTCTCCGCACACGACAGGAGTGGGACGCTAAACACACCGGGACAACATCATCCATGAACCTCTCGTTACATTCATAGCTATTGTACATGTTTTTTAGTGGTAGGGCAACCCGGGGCACCCAGAGGAAACCTACACACACATAAGGAGAACATGCAAACTCCACACAGAGAGGCCTGGAGGTAGAATCGAACCCTGCAGGACCTTCTCGTGGTGAAGCACTAACCGCTGCCCGTGTCAATCCAGTTATGGTGTATTCATAGTAATAAAGTATTACATTACAGGACACAGAAGAATACAGTATTGAAATATAATAATGTCGTGAAAATAGATCTTGGTGCCATATCCATTTCCCCCCCATTTCCGAGCTTGACCCGTGACCCTGGTGGATGTAGAGCTTCTAAAGACACAATCCTCATTACCCAGGATCCTCTCTGCAGAGTCGGGTCTTATTTACCCGCCAGCAAGGACAGAAATACACAGAGACCAGCGCTGATGGAGCGATGGAAACAAAACACCTCCGTACAGAGGTTACAGCGGCTGTCAATTTGCACTGCGCCCACTGGCTCTCAATCACCAGTATTTACAACAACTCAACTGTGGCATCGTCGTCGGTAATGACAGAAATTATGTGAGGATGCGCTGGTGTTCTTAGACAAGTGAACATTTTGGATATCTATCAATTTATTCATTCATTTTGAACCTGCACAACCCTTTAAAGTAAACGTATTTTACTTTTGAATGCCCTTGTAAACGGAAGCAAGTCCAAGTAACTCTGAAACAGTTGTTGTTTTGTGTTTTTGCAATTGTTAGACCTGAGCGGAGAGGATTTGTGGTCCGAGCCAGGCGGGTCGGCCGGAGAGCCACTGGAGGAAGGCTGACTTTATGGGGTTTGATAAAGGAGCATTCAGCATTTTACTTTGGACCAGAGCAGAGAAAACGGTCCGAACAAAGCGAATGGTTCACCTCTTCTGCTGTGATCTGAAGTGCGGCTGTATTTTATTATTAAGATAAGCTATACTTTATTAATCTCACACAGGAGAAATTTACATGTCACATTTGGCATGGATAGAAACACTCAAGATTGTGCAAAAAGTAAGAAATATGCAAACATGTTGATGCAGGAAATATGTACAAAAAGTGGCAATAAGAAAGAAATGTCAATAGAAGTGTCAATAGTAGCGCAGGTTTTTTCAGTCTTAATGCAGTGACTTAAAGTGAAACCAAACAAACTCTACAGAAACAACTTTACCAACATTGTAGAGAAAACTCGACCTGGTTCAGGAATCTATTTTACCATCAAAATCACTTTAAAATTTGTGAAGTGCAGACAGTGTCCATCTTAAATGTAATTTTTATGTTTTATTTTTTTCTTCAATGTAAATAAATGTAATAATAATAATAATAATAATTAATAAGTCTGGGAAAACCAACAGCCACACAACCAGATGGTGTTTTTTGTTTTACCAGAGATACTGGTTTAAGGCAGTGTTTTTTGGGTCCCTTGAAAGCAGCATCATTTCCTTAAACAGGACTATTAAAACAGCCTGACAAAATCTTTCAAAATACAGTTCGAATGAGTGAGTGAGTGTGTATAGGGGGTGAGGGAGGGTGGGGTGGTACACTAGTTACTGCAAGTATGTAAGTGTATCTTGTATTTTTATGTTAAACTGATTCTTTTTCTGACAGTTGAAAATAATAAAGAGAAAGAAAAAAAAAAAAAAACTAGTGGGCCACAATCGGCTGTTCATCTCCATCTCGAGGCCACCAACCACACCCTGAACCACACGGAGGTTCAAACTCTGGCTCGAGACAAAAATTGGTTTGAGAGAGGGGTGAAAGAAGCCATTTTTGTGAAGAAACACAAACCATCCCTAAACAGAGGAGGCGGGTTAAGATATGTTTTGCCG